CTAACCTTGTAGGTTGAACAATATGGTATTTGTGCCTCCTTTCCCTTTAAAAAAAAAAAAAAAGATCAAAAGGATATCCAGCCCACTTGATGACTGTGCACTAGTTTGGAAGTTTGCAGTCATGGTTTCTGTTTCACGGGGAGGTATTTTAATGCTTTTAGAGCAATAGTTAGTTCCCAGTCTGGCTGCTTACTATCAGCAGAATTTATGACCTGTCGCAGGAGAATAATCTTGTATTTATTGATCCTATTTTGACTGACCATTGATAAGGGTTTCCAAGTTGTATCTTATGAGAAGAATCTTTGAGAGCCTGTCTAGATTCATGGGAGCTCTTAAGGAGGTGGCTCCATTTGGGTAGGCACTGAGCTTCCTGCAGCCTCCCTCTATCCTGCTACCGCACTCGCTAGGTTACCGTAACCTACTACCTAGTTACCCTTTACCCTCCGGTAACACCTACCATGCCTGTTGCCACATAGGTGAGAGATGGAGTTCTGAGAGCACAGAAGAAACCCCAAGAACACTCAGCCCTGACAGTTAGCATGCTGCCCTCTGACCTCACACAGGAGCAGTGACAACATCTGCCTCGAGGCCTTGAACTCTCACTGCGGCTCTGGAAGTCCCTGCAGTGTCTTGTTATCACTTCCCTTTTACGCTGGGCAGTGGGCCTGGACTGGAGGATTCGTTCTTCTGTTTGGTTAATTGTGAGAAGGTAAAATTGGAATTAGAGAAGCAGAGGCCTCTGGCAACTTCACAGAGTTCTTTCACTTACTAGCTGTGTGGCCTGAGGCTTTTCCAAGCCTCAGAAAAGCTCAGATATCTCAGAAAATTGTCAGTATCTGGGGAAAATACCAGAAAATCATTTGCAAATAGTAATCCTGATAGCTCTTCTTCCTTATGGCGTGGTTATGAAGATTAAATGATAATCCCCCCAAAGTATCACATTATATCTAGGCTCTAGCACAAAATAGTGCCTGATAAGTACTAGTTATCGTTGGTAATAATAGCATCATCATTTGGCTTTCAAAGCAGTGGAAAGGAGAGATTCCCATTGATGGCTCATGTTTCAAAAATGTAACATTTTATAAGTCCTTGGCAATGTCTTAAAAGAATCCTGATGTAACTCTGATACTTGCAAAACTTTTTTCTTAAGTAGTCTAAATCTTTGTTTTAATAACCACATGTTGGGTCCCTACTGTGAGTAAACAGGTTGCTGACACAAAAGGATTATAAAGAAAAAGATGGTGTGTCCTTTGCCTTCTTAATGTCAAAAGAATTAGCCATGACTATATTTTAAATAGGCTACATCCAACCTAAGTTTTCAGTATCATCAGTGTTTTAAGCCCACTGCATATATATTCATTCCATCACAGACAAAAATAATTGTGATGAACTTTTTTCTAAACCAGGCCAAGTGTAAAATATCACGCTTGAGAGTTTTAATTTTAGCATCCTGCCCCTCACTCCCAATTGTCAACTTATGTTCCCCAACTCTTCTGACCAATTGTCCATATACACCCCTCCCACATACACCCCAATTACCAGGTCATCATAAAGCAGAGATTCTCAACCTTCCTAAGGCTGCAGCCCTTTAATACAGTTCCTGTGGGTCATGACCCACAGGTTGAGAACTGCTGTTACAAAGCATTCATGTATTGTTATGGGAAAAATGATTTCTTAAAGTTTTTCAAAATAATTACTTGAAAACAGATTGTTTTAATGTGAAATAGCTTAATGCTATGATTATTGAGCTTAGAAACTTGGTCAAGTGCAGTGACTACTTGGTCAGTCTTTCTGTAAGGGTAGCATTAGTATTAATTTTTCTTCTTTTTTTAATTTACCAAGTCTGTGCTACTCTTCCTTCAGTTTTTTGTTTGGTTTTTAGGACTTTTTTCATATAAACCAAATACCCCTCACCACGATCTAGCCCATAACGTATGGAACAGTCAAGTTCATCACCATTTCCTCTTACCTGGACCTCGTTCTCCCAGTCTCATAGACCCCTGGGATGTTAGAATGGGAAGGACTTTGTCAACCAGACTCTTCTCTCCATCACCGCACCTCTCTTAGCAGGGAGCAAACTGGGCCCAGGAGAGGTTCGGGACCATGCCTGCCATCAAACACCACCTGTGGCTGGGTCCTGGTACAGAGAGTGCCCTCCGCCTCCTGCTCTTCTCCCTGGCTGGTAGTATTTCTCTTTACTTTGACCCCCTTTTCTAAGCTGTCACCAATTCCTATTACTGTTTTCTTGAAATGTCTCTTCTTTCCTTCTTCCCCTATTTCTTCCTGTCTGATCCTGTCACTCAGCACCTTACAATGGCAAAGGCCCGGTGGAGAACTTCATCTCCAAGGCGTCCATTATACCAGATTAATTTTCTCTAATTACCACTGTCAGCATGTCACTGCTCTTCTGTGAGGCTGCCAGGAGCTCCCTGCTTCTGGTGCTAACAAATGCCCGCAGCCCGAGCCCTTCGCAGCCCCAGCCCTCCGCAGCCCCATGTCACTGTGGGCACTCGGCTTTGGTGCTTTCTTCTCCCCAGGAGCACCAGAGGCCCGTCGTCTTCTCTGGGTCTCCCCCGTGACTCAGCCGTGTTTCTTTCATGCCTTTCACTTCCCAGTCTTCCCAGGTTCCATTTTCTTCCTGCCTTATCCACTCTAGCAGTTCCTTGAATAATGTTTTATTCAGAGTCCTTTCATTATAACATTGATGACAACAAACATGGCTTCTCAACTGGGTCGCTGTCTGTGTGAAGTGTGCACGTTGTCCCCATGGCTGTGCCTGTTAGGTATGTTGGTGTGTCCGCATGGCCCCAGTGTGTGTGGCTGTGGGTGAGTGTGCCCTGGGCTGGGTCCTGCCTTGCTCCCTGAGCTGCTGGGATAGGCAGCCACTTGTGACCCTGAATAAGTGGGCGAATTATTTCCTACTTGTTTTCGTTAATCTTTCTTAAATGTATGTGCAGCTCACATTTATTTCAATGTCTAATACTGGAGGTATTTTAGTCTTTAGGAGTTTGATGTTTTTGTGACCAGAACTATGCTGTAGGGACTTAACTCTTGTTCATGCTAATTAGTCTGTGGTAAAACTGGTTTCCTTATAGTCATTTTGCTTAAAGTCACAGTTGCCAAGAACCTATGAACCGTGTTTCGTGAGGACTTGCCGTACTCTGTTCTTTCAGGCCAAGTCCAAGTTCCACCACTGTTCAGTGTTTTCTCTGATTACTGCAGTGATAGCCCAGTAATCCCCTTTTATTACCAAGTTTTTTATCGTTCTCTATCCTACCACATAGCATTGAATATGATACCCTCCCCAGGATGGTTCTATGGATTTTTCTCACAATTGTACTGCCTTCTCAATTATATTTAGTGTTCTTTGAAGGCAGAGCTTCTGTTTATATTTTCCTTATATACAGTATCCCCTCTTATCCCCAGGGGAGGCTCGCCCTCAGCGGATGCCTGAAACCACAGCTAGTACCAAGCCCTGTGTATACTTTCCGTTCCTATAGATACATACCTGTCATAAAGTTTAATTTATAATTTAGGCACAGTGAGAGATTAACAACAATAATAAAACAGAACAATTCTAACAATGTGCTATAATAAAAGTTATGAGAATGTGGGTCTCTCTCTTTCTCTCACTCAGAGTATCTTATTGTACTGTCCCGACCCCGCCTGTGATGAGGAAGGGGTGAAGTGGGATGGTGTAACATTTCACCCTGCTGTTCAGAATGGCGTGCAGTTTAACACTTAGGAATTGTTTATTTCGGAAATTTTTCATTTACTATTTTCTGACTGCAGTGGACCTTGGGTAACTGAAACTGGAAAGTGAAACTGTGGAAGGGGGGAAGGGGGGGATACTGTATTCTATTTTTTGGTAGTGCCTAACAAGTGGTCGGTAATTAACTACTTATTAGGGGCTCGTTGAGCTTTTAAAAGATGTCCAGATCTCTGAGCAGTTCAGACATTTGGCAGTGTTTGCAGCTTGAACCAGCTTGAACTGTGCTGTTTATATTACAGCACAGTGCTCTGCCTTCCAAGCATTGCTGGGATCAATTGCTGTGTTAATGATCTGCTGGGGAGGGGGGTTGCCTATATAGTTAGGGTGCTCACTCGACTTGCAGATCAGTGGCTGGGTGGCAGAGAGTTGGGGGGACTCCCCTACTGAGAACTGAACACCTGCCTTTCAGAACTTACAGTAGATAGTAGTTTCTTGAGAATGGATAGGATTGCATTGTCTTCGTAACTCTGGCAGAGTCTCCACGCACCAACACAAACGTAAACTGGCCTGTCTCCTTTCCCACCTTGTGTCCTTGAGCCAGTAAAGACCGTGATGTTCCCTTTTCTACAATACTGGCATAATATCCTGAGATTTGGTCTGATCTTTGTCTAGGACATTTTTTCAGAACCTAGTAAGTACTGTATCTTCCCCCAAAGATAAGTGAGTTGTAATAAGTCCCTGGTACTGGGAAAGGACTGTGTGTTATTTAAAGACCAGGTCAGCTTTCTGAATTTTAGCTGCTACTTTTCCACACCTTCCTAGTTTTCTTGGTGGCCATCCTTGCACTGAGGCAGCAATAGCTTCATAGTACTTTGGACTCAAGGCTCCCCAAGGCATACCCTGGCAAGAGTTCCCTCTGCTAAAGGCTCATAAACCTTGGAAATATTTTTTCTTTTAATTGTCCGCTGTACTAATTCCACCCATACAAAACAGTTTGGTCTTTTCCTCCTTTGGCACAAGAGAATTAGCAGAGACTCAGATGAAGGGGAAATTGACAGCTCCGTCTTGGTGGGGCATTCATGGCCCCTGGGCTTTTATTCCCATTTGTCCACCTCATGTTCTGAATCCTTGGCCCACTAGGATCAGTTTTCTCTTCCCACCAGTGACAACCGAAGGATGTTTCAGATCTTTCTCCCTTTATCTCCAACACACACAGTGAAATGCCGCATGACTTCATTTACAGAAAGTCACCCAACTGGAATCACTTTAAGTGTTTTAATTTTTTTAGGTGGATGGAAGTCTGCTTAGTTGAAGAATTGCCACCAACCACTGAACTGGAAGAAGGGCTCCGGAACGGAGTTTACCTTGCAAAGTTAGCCAAGTTCTTTGCCCCGAAAATGGTATCAGAGAAAAAGATCTATGATGTGGAACAAACGCGTTATAAGGTAACCAAGATCTAATTGGTTTTGGCTTCCAGCTAGAAGCGAAAGTTTGGTATTTCATTTCCTCTCCTTTCTTCTACTCTTAGTGTTTCTGTAAGGATATTGTGGGAGAGGGGATGTCCTTGGTCCTTGCAGCCTGTTAATAATCATTCCTGAGGCAGCAGCAGTTTGGAAAAGCCAAATGTTTCTATTTCTGGGTTGAAGCTGAAAGACCTCTAGTTTGTTCCTCTCCCTCCTCAATTCCTTCATGGAGGTCGTTTGTGACTTTAGTGCCAGGAAAGGTAAAAGTGGGGGCACCCTGCCCCTCCTTTCATACCTCCAACACAGATTATTGCTTCCTGTATTCTCATCAAGGAATAGAGTACCCAGCTGGGACTTGAAGAGTGAGGGCCAAGGTGATAAAACAAGTAGTAATGTTGATTGGCTAAGAATTCTTCTCCATTTGGTGTTTAAAATAAAATCAAACTAACCTCTTTTTATATACAACTAGTTTTAAGAATTGTCTCATGGCTACCTTGGAAGGACCAGAAAATGCAAAGGGCATTCACAGCTGTTATTTAAATTTAAATTTGGGAGAATGGGGGGGAGAGCAAAGTTAAAATAAATACCAGTTTTACAGTAATAAAAATGCTGATCATATATATATATATATATAGATCAAATTATTTACAGATAAAATGATACATCTAGGATTTACTTCAAAGTAATTGGGGGGGGGTAGATAAATGATACCAAACAGACCATGAGTTCTTTATCATTGATGTTGGGTGGTAGATACACAGGAGTTTAATTGTCTTCTATTTTACATTTGAAAATTTCCATTGAAAAGTAAAAAAGTCAACACCAACTTAAAGGTTTCTCCATTGGGGATGTATCTTCAGAAGGGAATTTTAAAATGTTTAGTCATATATTCTGGAGTATATGACCTCTTATCTACTATGGGTCAAGGTTTCCAAAGCCTCTTTGGAATTTGATTCTTTATTTTCCTAATATATTTAGTTCTTGGTATCAGTATTTCCTAACCGTAGATTTTCAAGTATCCATAAAAGTTTTCTCTTGCAAATAAAGTTCCTTGTCTTGCCCTTGCAGGGACAGTATTGAGAAAAGTTGAAAATGGAATGATTTCCCATTTATTATATGATTCATACTCCTTTCAGGTCTTTAAACAAAATAAGTTTTAAAAATCTGTACCTTGAATTCATATCAGATGATTGAATAATCATTAAGGCTGACGATAGACCAGTTAACTGGCTGAATCCCTTTTTGGTCCGTTTTCATAGCCCAATCAAGAAGGTAACTAAGCAGAAGAATTTGCCTTGAACAGCGTTATGAATAAAAATGTTTGCATTTGTTGCAGTAAGTTTGACTCAATGAACTCATGGGTTTGACCCCAGCCTTTCAAAAGACTTTAATAAAACAACAACTTGGCCAATATTAAAGTTTTAAAACATTTTTTGAAAAATATTTTTAGAAATTCAGACAAGCACAGGAAGAAACCATCTATAGCCCTCCTCCACAAAATAAACATTTGTCCCCATTTTAGACTATGGCTTATTCTTTTCCACTGCTTTTACTAGGGTTGTCATTAAGATCCAGATCTGTGAGTACTAACACAACTGTGGGTTTGATGGTAGGGTTGAAATGTAATTGGCTAGACTCCAGGCTGTCCTGAGAGGGGATGGTGGATAATTTCTCTTGGCTTTGTGGACTAAGAGAGTCAGGCTGGAAAAGCAAGCACTTCATGAAGGCGAGCCTCAGAGCAGGGTGTGGGTTCTTATTTCTTCCTGGTACATCATATGTCTTGAACAGAGATGTTTCCTTCCAGATCAGTTTTGGGCCCTCCGGGCAACTTAAGCAGACACTTTCTCCTCCTGGCATTAGGGATCTTACTATTTAAATGAATAGCAGATTCTCTTTAGAATGGGGACGGGTGAGACAGAGTCTTACTCTGTCACGCTAGGTAGAGTGCCATGGTCATAGCTCACAGAAACCTTAAACTTTTGGGCTCATGAGATCCTCTTGCCTCAGCCTCCCACATAGCTGGGACTACAGGTGCCCACCACAATGCTCAGCTAGTTTTTCTTTTTTTAGTAGAGACAGTCTTGCTCTTGTTCACCTGAGCTCAAGGGACCCACCCACCTGAGCCTCCCAGAGTGCCAGGATTACAGGCATGAGCCACCACACTCAGCTGAGATAATATTTTCAATCTCTTGTTATGAAATAAAGTACCTACAGGTCCTGGGCAGGTGATGACGTCCCAGTAGAAATGTGACATGAGAGGGAATGTTCTCCATTGCTGCCCTGTCGGGCCCCTGGGAGGTGGGAGGCAGAGCAGGGATGCTGGCAGAGGGGCAGGAAGAGGGGCAGTGGGAGGAGGTGCTGCTGGCCGGGGCCTGGGGTTCCTCCCCACCCCCACACCACTGATCTAAAAGAAAAATTTGAAACGATCCCTGTGGATTCACTGGAGAAAGAGGTTTTTCTTTTTTCTTTTTTTCTTAAACCTCTGAAAGTGCCTACTATTCTTGATGGGAATTTTTAGTGATTTGCCAAGTCATCATAAAATTTTATTTTAGGGCCTTCTCCTTTCTTATACAAAAATGAAAGGAGACAAATATTAGTGAATAGGCTCCTCAGCTTCCTGTTCTGTTCTTCAGAACTAAAGCGTGGGCCTTTCCAAGGAGCACTAAATCATGGGACAGCGGCCGAGGTGCTGCGGCACCAGGGAGCACTCACTAACCCAGGCCGGCCCCTCAGTGTGCCATCTGGAAACCATGAATTCAGTGAAGTTGGGCTGTCGCTACAGGGTCTGCCTACACGGCGTCCATGAAGTACAACCCGCCTGCGAGGCACAGGGTCCCCAAGGCACAGGGTCCCCAAGGCAAGGCCATGTGCCTGAGCCCAGACAGACTCAGCATTGGCACTAATGGCTTTGACAGCTGTCAGTTAGACTGACAGGAGCTTTCATGCTGTCCCATGGTCTCTGTCTGCCACGCTGTGTGCAACCTTGGTTCCTTGTTAACTTAGGGTTAGAAAGATGTCCTAGGTCTTAGAGTTAAATCTTCCAAGGTCTGAGTTATGTGACAATGTCGTGTGTGCAGTGGTGTTAACCCTGTCTCTTGGAAATGCCATAGTGTGTTGTAAAGAAGGCAGGTGGCTTCTCTGCTCTATCTCCAGCGAATGGCTCAGGGTCTGGTCTGTAGTAAGTGCTTGGGGAAGTAGCTGTTGGGGAGAGGAATGAATGGCAGTAGTTTCATATAAGCTAAAGTTTTCCCTTCCTTTTCCTTTATGCTTTATTTGGTATTTATTTGATGCGCTTAGAGTGTGACACCCTTCAAGAATGATGCTCAAACCTCCTGCAGAACCACGTGATGTCTGTGTGTAAAAACTGGACTGTGGGTCCCACCCCAGACTGCGGAGTCAGAAAGACTCTTTGACCTGAGACTTGGCAAGCTAGGCTCTTGGTACATTACCTGCAGTTGGTTCTTTTCTTGATATACTAAGGGAACCATTGCTTCAACTAGGCAGATAAATGTTAATATAATTATCATAAAGTTATAGAGAAAGAAAAAGTTGTACCATGCCGGAAATCCACATAAGGTAGAATTCATTCATTCACTCGTAGAGCACTCCCCAGTCCTGGCGTGCAGGCATGGTGCTCAAAGAGTGAGCAGAGCAGTCACGGCCCTGGTTTCCTGTCACTCACATGGAGAGACAGACTGTGAGAAAATGTGTCGTTGTGAATTGCAATACGTATCTGAAGGAACAAACGGAAGCCAGTGTTACAGACCAATAGCAATGGGCACGAGACAGGCTTCTCTGAGGTTTGCTCTGAAGCTATAAGTTTGGGAAGAAAGTCATCTATGTGCAGGTCAGGGATGGGGGATGGGAAGAGCAGTCCAAAAAACAGCTTGGCCACAACTGAGTGGCCAAAAGGCTGCAAAGAGGGACAGCAGTGTGAAATGAAACCAGGAGGGAAACAGGTGGGATTGTATGGCTGTGTAGGCTCCAGGAGGACCGGCGATTTTATCCTAAGTACAGCCGATAAAGCCATGGAACAGGCATCACGATGCAGTGTGAGGTGGCTTGTGCTCTAAAGAGATCAGTGGCTGCTATGTGGAGACTAAATGGGAGGGAGGGAGAGGGTGGTGGCAGAGTGCAGTGAGGGATAATTCGGTCCAGGTGACAGGTGGCAGTGTCCTGCGCAGACAAGAAGTGAATGCCTCCAAGTGGGAAAACAAAGGGTAGATCCTGGAAAGGAGCTGGAACTGGATGGAGGCCATGGGGAGAAGACAGCTGGGAGGACAGCGGGGGACATCTGAGGGGGAGGGGGCCATCCTATCCACTCTAAGGGGACTGCAGGATGGTTGAGGGCTGGGAAGGTGCCCATGATATGGGCTTAAGAGATTAGAAGAGTGTCCTTAAGCAGACTGGGATGGGCGAGAGAGAAGAGGGAAGGAAGGGCATTCCTCGGAGAGAACTCAGCTTGGCTAGGCTCAACCATTAAAAAAAAAAGGCATCTTGGACAGCACTGTGATAATTGCAGATTTGTTTAGGCATGCCTTAGGAAGGCACATGCATAGTGATTAGCAGAGCAGTGTGAGCTGTAGGATCAAAGTCTTCAGAGTGTAATTTCACCACTAACTGCCTCTCTGAGCCTCAGTTTCCTCACCTGTAAAGTGGGAATACAAATTGAGTATTTCTAACCCCAAACTCCAAAATCTGAAGCTTTCTGAGCTGACATGATGTACAAGGGAGGTGCTCACTGGAGCATTTTGGATTTCAGATTTTCAGATTAGGGCTGCTCAACTGGTTAGCATAATGCAGATACTGCAAATTTTATTAAAAATCCAAAATTGGTTCTGGCCCCAACCATTTGGCTAAGGGATACTCAACCTAACAACAGCACCTACCTTTGAGATATTGGGAGGAACGAGTGTGATTACCCACACAAGGCTCTCGGCACAGAGCCTGATAGATGTAATCGCCCACTGGATGTAGGAGGCGGTGGTTATCCCAAGGCACCTGAGCAGTGTGAGATGAACTTAATATTCAGACTGGGTGTCAGGGAATCTGCAAGGGAGTCTTAACCTGAGCCTAACAAGTTAGGTCAACTCAGGTGTCATATATACTTGGGACCTTAGTTTCCTCATCTGTAAAATAAGCAAATTATTAATTCCTAAGCTTCCTGATAGTTTGAAATGCTCTGATTCTGATATGTAGGAAGTTAGTATCCAAAGAAGATAATTCTTTTTTTTTTTTTGAGACAGAGTTTCAAGCTGTTACCCTGGGTAGAGTGCCGTGGTATCACAGCTCACAGCAACCTCAAACTTTTGGGCTTAAGCGATTCTCTTGCCTCAGCCTCCCAAGTAGCTGGGACTACAGGCACCAGCTATAATGCCCAACTATTTTTTGGTCATAGTCGTCATTGTTGTTTTGGCAGACCCGGGCTGGATTCGAACCTACCAGCTTCAGTGTATGTGGCTGGCGCCCTAGCCACTGAGCTACAGGCACCGAGCCGATAATTCTTCATCTATGCAATTTAAAGTAGATGGACTTCATGTGCTGGTGTTGTAACAGCTTAGCAGTGGAAAATTACCATATGCTTTCTAGTTCAATACCTGAAAAAAATTAGGTAGCTGGACCAAAGCCATTCACCTGGTCTAATATAATAAATATATAGGACTGGTGGGGAAAAAATAACTTGCTGAAACTAATGATAATGGACTTAGAATATTTTGTGCCTGTTCAGAAGAACATTAGAACATTTTCATTCCAATTGAAGCAAATTCGGTAATTGAAGATGTTATTGCTATAATTCACTACCCCAAAGTGTGTACTTCTTGAATACACAAACATGAATCACAGTGTTCTGAAGCCAGCGTTTCTCAGGTGTTTCAAATGGATGAAGGATTGGAAACCTGCCATTTATTGTATAAATATTATCGAGATAACCACTCTTTCCTCTCAACATGAAGTACAGTAATTATAATAGCTAATATTTGCTGCATTCTTGGGTGTACTTTGCAACTAACTACTTTCTGCTTAGTCTCAATTTAATCTCAGCAACTCCAAGAAACATTTTATGGCTAAGGAACCAGGATTCAGAAAGATTCGTGCCTTTACTGAGATTACTTAACTTACAAGACTACTAAATAGATGGATGTCTTTGTTACATAATTTGGGATTGTTGAAGCCCACCAGCCACAGACCCCTGAAATCCACCTGTGGCCAAGCAACATTAGGTTTATTTAACTTGTTGAGTAAGAAAAAAATACATACTAATGGAGCCACAAGGAGAAGCGAGGGGCTTAGCATAGATTTGGACTTGTGCTGGGTGATTCTAATAAGGATTTAGGGAAGCAAGGATCAGGTTTCTTTTGGGGTGTTGCCAGGAAGCAGGATCAATTTGGTGTCTTGGTAGTTTTTATCCAGGAAGTGGGAAGATTGAGTGGGAACTAGATTGTCATCAGTAAATAAACCGGAGCAGTTCATGCTCATTGGAAGAAAAGGATATTTCATTGTCTCGTGGTGCACAGCGTCCTCATCTTTTCTTGCTTTGGGCTTGATGGCAGGTTGTTTTTGTCTTGTTCATCCATGGCAAAAGCAGCATTGTCTGAGAATTGTTTGTATCATGCAAAAGAAATTTATGCTGACTTATAACTCTCAAACATCATAGCCTGGATATTAACTCTCTGGGGCCTTCCTTCCTTTTTCTCTTTCTCTTCCTCTCCCCCTTTCTCTTCCTTTCTTCCTTTCCCTCCTTCCTTTTTTCTACTATCCCTTCCTCTAACTATTGTATAGTAACAAGCTAATTTTTTTTCTTTCCCCAAGCTAATCAAAGGTCACTAGGTCCTGTGTTCTTCTCTGGAGGAGCATTAGCATAGGGAAGCTCTCAGAGCCAGAGAGACCTCTTCTGGAATCCCAGCTCAGCCACTTACCACCTATTTGACTTTAGACTAATCACTTCATCTTTTTAACCAAGCTTCCTTTTCTTTCAAAAATGGGAATGATAATTACCTTGCAGGGTGTTTTGAAAATTAGAAATAACTTACAAAAAGTACTTGAAATCTACAGTCCAGTTGCAAATAGTAGCCACCGTGAAAAAGGCATAATTTACTTTATAATTTCTAACAGCCATGAAAATACTTTTTATATAATAAACAATGAGATGGTAGAAGGTCACAGAAGGTGGGGAAAGCCAGACTTTCTGAATGCGATTATCAGTCATTGGATGTTAGTTAGATGATGAACCTTGCTGTAGTTACTTTTCTATACATTGCTAAAAATGAAAAATAAAAGATAACATTGTGCTGTGCACTTAATATTTAAAAAAGATCATTTTAAAGCTCTTTGTGGTGGTTTACCTGATATATCTTAATGAGATAACACTATACTTAGAGATTGCAGAAGAAATGGCTGTCTGCTTAGAACTCTAAAGAAAAAGTGGATGACATACACTATTTTTATTATACAGGTAAAAAAAGATCTTGTAAGACATTTCTGCTGAAGGTTTACTTGCTGTATAAGGCCAAAAATAGAGTTAAGTTATAGAAGAGGGTATATTTGAAATTAGCTCTGACTTGCAGGGTAGTTTTTGTTTTTATCTTTATTTTTCTAAGTTTTCCAAGTTGTCTACAGAAACATGACAACATAAGAAAATAAAAGCATTTAGTCTTTTCAAAATTGTTTTTTCTGACGTTGCTAGGCTTCACAGCCATGGTTGCCAAAACCTTGACACTGCGTGCACACACACCCACGTACACGTACATGTCTCATAAAACATTCTTAGGCGTGTTAGACATTAAATAATTTCGAGATTCTAATTCAGAATTTGCCTCAAATGTGTGAATTATGGAAACTGTCATGGTCCGTCATAACTGGTGGGGATGTTGCCAAGACACAGTTCAGTCTCTTTTCTTTATGTGAGCATTAGTAACTATTCTAGAAGCACAATTGAAAAGCCTCCTGCTAATGAAGAAATTTGATACAAATGACTCACTTATTGTGTGGTTCCTTCTTTTTTTTTCCTCCCTCCTCTCCTCACCTTAGAAGTCTGGCCTTCATTTCCGACATACAGATAATACCGTCCAGTGGTTAAGAGCGATGGAGTCTATTGGCCTACCCAAGGTAAGCCTTCACATACGGAACCTAAAAGGCAAAGGGGTACACGTCCACACACCTCGGACTGAAAATGACTTAGCAGATTGGGGTTTGTTCACATGCGAATGAGAAAAATGAGGTCGAAACAAAAATAGGGAAAGGCCTATATAAAGCAGTATATGGCAAGAACTCAGAATAAGGTACATGAGCTTGTGCACAGAAATTAGCGTATACGAATAATAAAAAGTGTGTATAAATGAAATCAGAACAAGCTTTCAAGGGTAGATAGTTGATTTAAAATAGCCAACTCCCTTTTTTGTGTTGCTATTTATACTGAAGATTCTAAAGTCTCATTTCATTGCTATATATCACTGTAAATTATTATAAATCTTTTTTATAAGTCATTGTTTTATCACTTGGAATGTCAAGGGGCTAGTGAGTTATAGCTCTTAATTCTGAAATAGCTTTCCCAAATAAAATTCATTCATCAAACATTGCTTGTTAAATTTGAAGAGTAGACATCCTTAAAGCATGTGAGAAAATTAGACAAGTGGGGGAAATGAGGAGATAATTACGTTAGATAAAAATCGTTCAGCAATTTTTTACCAGTTATTTTGAAATAATCATAGAGTCACAGGAAGTCACAAAAATAGTATGTCTGTGTGTATCCTTCATTCAGCTTCCCCCAGCGGTAACATCTCACTGTAGTACAATATGAAATCAACATTGGTGTATTCATGTAAACTGGACTGCAAAGCTTATTCTGTTTGACCATTTTTATATGCATTTGAGTGAGTGGGTGCACATGTGCTGTTGTGTGCTGTTTTAACCCATGAATAGATTTGTATAAGCATCACCACAGCCAAGAAATAGACACCAGAGAGGAATAATCCTTCAGATTGCTTCCCTGCCCCAGCCCTGTCCCCTGCTGACCACTAATGTGTTCCTCTCCTTAGTTTTGTCCTTCTGAGAAGGACATATAAATGGAGTCACCCAGTGGGTAACCTTTTGAAATAGATTTTTTTCACTATGCATATTATCCTTGAGATCAGTCAGGTTTTCAGATGTATCCATAGTTCTGTCCTTCATATTGCTTAGTGTGGACAGCTATTTTATAGAAATTATTTAAGCGTGGTCCAGCTTGAGGGCAAGGGGAGAGGTTACTGACTTACGAAAACTGTGGTGGCACCATTAAGCCAGGTGTGCAATTAAATACGCCAACCACCACAATAATAAAAAATTACTTAATTTTGAATTATGGCTGAGTATTTTTTTTTTTTTGAGACAGAGCCTCAAGCTGTCCCCCTGGGTAGAGTGCTATGGCATTACAGCTCACAGCAACCTCCAACTCCTGGGCTCAAGCGAGTCTCCTGCCTCCGCCTCCCAAGTAGCTGGGACCACAGGCGCCTGCCACAACGCCCGGCTATTTTTTGGTTGCAGCCGTCATTGTTGTTTGGCAGGTCCGGGCTGGGGATTCGAACCCGCCACCTTAGGTGTACGTGGCTGGCGCCTTAGCCGGTTGAGCTATAGGCGCGGAGCCATGGCTGAGTATTTTTAATCATGCCTACATCTGTTTTGGCTTAGTCTCATTTTATCTCATGATCAATATTTGATTTATTTTGTTCTGCCATTTTTAATCAGACTACTTTCCATTCACCTAAAATACCATGGAACCCGTGGGCAGTCACAAGGTGAGAAGGCTAAGGAAGGCAGCCCGTGTAGGCCCAGACCTCATCAAATAAAACGCTGCCACCCAGAGCTCTGGGCACAGCCTTCTCGGTGGGGCTGTGAACCCCCATTCTCCTGTTGCCACTAGGTGGCGTACTGTCGGGCAGGGTCCAGATGTAGGGATTGATTTGTCTATAATTATAGAATAGCAAGGAAAATCAAAGTAAAATTATTTTGAAGAATTATTTTGATTATTAAAATTATTTAGAGCAAGACATGTAAGAAGCATTGTTTCTTTTGTTTTCCAGATATTCTATCCAGAAACCACAGATGTTTATGATCGGAAAAACATACCAAGGATGATATATTGCATTCATGCACTGAGGTAGGGAAAATGCAAACTCCAGAACTCTAAGAAATAGATGTAAATAAAACTACAATTTCAATTTTAGAAGCGACCTTAAGTTACTTCAGTAATTCGAGCTTTTTATTTGATTCAGTTGTTTTGTGTATGCTGGTAGAAAAATAAAGTAATTGTCACAGAAATGATACTTAAACTTTAAAATTATTTTTCTACTTTTTTAAAAAGCTAACTCAAAAAAGAAAGCCAGAAAATTAATGAAAAACCTTTAAGGGTATGAAGAGAACTTAAGTTGAAACTTCTGTGAATCCAGTGGTAACATAAATCGTATTCTTGAGTTATGATCTGGTTTACAATGGAAATTGACCAAATGGGCTCGGCACCTGTGGCTCAGGTGGCTAAGGTGCCAGCCACATACATCTAAGGTAGCGGGTTCAAATCCAGCCCGGGCCCACCAAACAACAATGATGGTTTCAATCAAAAAATAGCCCGGCGTTGTGGCAGGCACCTGTGGTCCCAGCTACTTGGGAGGCTGAAGCAGGAGACTTGCTTGAGCCCAGGAGTTGGAAGTTGCTGTGAGCTGTGATGCCACAGCACTCTACCAAGGGGGACAGCTTGAGGCTCTGTCTCAAAAAAAAAAAAAAAGAAAGAAAGAAAAAAAGAAATTGACCAAATGGAGAGCTTTATTAATGATTATAATCTTGATTCAACCTAAAATTATAATTTGCTTCAATTCTTACCATAGATTAAGAAAATCTAATGTAAGGATGATTTCTTTTGACTTTTCATTCAGTAGAATTTATATCCTGAGGATAGAGAAGCAGCAGAAGTTGCTTTAGTCAAATCAAGACACATTGTTTTAAAGCAATTGATAATTTAATTTTTGAAAATTTTGAATGACTGCTAGTTCAGAGTATATTATATCTTATTGGCCTGGAAGAAATACGATCTTTAGATGGTAACAAAGAGGACCCTAAAAATCCAGTTTGTGGCTGTTGGTGCACACAGGTAATAGTTGGGAGACTTCATGTCTAATTACATTTTAAAATACTTTAGAACATCTGCCTTGTGTTTTTATCACTAGAAGTCATTTTCCTGGCAGAGTTCTCTGCCTAGAGGTTTATATTAACTTCTTCCTGGCTCTTTTCCTCTCCAAAGGAAAAGATTTCTATAATAATTCATGGCAATGCTGGCCTTCTGTAGAAGAATTTTGATTATGTCATATAATTTGACTCTTTTCCCTAGTCAGTACTTAGGAAATTGCTTTGAAAGATGACAGTTGCTAGAAATACAGACCAAATGTAGGTGCCTTTGCTGTGATTTTTTAAAAGTGCTATAATAACTTAGAATGACTGGTAGAATAAAACCACTTCTATGCCTGCCTCCTCGGTTGTAACTAGAATATCTTTATGCCAGCAGGTTTTATTTCTTGTAAGTGTCTTTTTTAGTTGAAAAGTTAACAAACTTACCAGTTACATTTCTCCCTCCAAACCACAAACTGGGTAGTAAGTAAGTCTGTAGACAAAATAGCCAAAGCTAAGAGAATTAAAAATACTTAGAGAGAAAAACATTCTTAGATCCAATTAAGAACCCTGCTTTAAGCAGGCCAATCAGTACCAGTGGTACTCCTGGACTCCAGGAGGCTGGAAGGTATCTTAATAACCCCACTCGGAGCATTTACTTCTGTTATCCTTCCTCCAGTTTCCAACTCATGAATTAAGGTAATATTTTGTTAACTCTGTTCCAGAAAACTTTATGCAAGTTGCTTTACATGCAGTGCCAGCTGTGTAAAAGGTCCTAGGGTTAACTGGACAATAAACTAGGCAGAAATTATTTCACCAAAAAAAGAGGAAAAGCCCCAAACACCACTTTCTACAGAGAACCCACAGTTCAGTTTTATTCATAGCAAAGAAAAAAAGAAAATTTCGATCATACTAGAAGAAAGTCAGCCCTAGGTTTGGAGTCTGTACTCCGACTACACATGCAGTGAGGACAGTATTCTGCTACTACGGTGGCTTTGCTGCTGTGCTTGTCTGCTGTTTACCTAATATTAAACACAGCACTGCAACTAGTGTCTGGAACAATCCTCAGTACTACAGCGTCAGGCACGGCATTTCACTTCTCATGCTGCAAGTTCTCTTGGCATACCTGGTGGGCTCCTGCTCTTCAGTAAAGTTGCTTTTGCTATCGAAGGTCCTCTTGATCTCCTTAGGTATTTTCCATGGATCATATTCGCAGCAGTCTTGCATGGAACATCAAGCAAAGCTTTGATGTCTAAGAATAAGTTCAAAAAGTGTTCCTCGGTCAACTTTCAGGAATTCTTGATTTGCAAACAGGGATATTGGTCACTTTCTTTGTTCTCATCCTAGGGAGGACAAGGGTCATCCTTTTGGGTGCACGACTGAGCGCCCTTTTTTATATTGCTGCATTAACATTTGGTAGAGGAACTGGGTCATCATGTCTTGTATCTGTTCCTAAATCTGCTAACAGGGTCTTGATAGTCACAGATTGTTTGACAGTTTCCACATCAACTTCCATTATCTATCAGAGCTCTGTGACTGAGTTGAAAGCATGGTGTTCAGTCTTTTTTTTTTTTTTTTTTTAGACAGAGCCTCAAGCTGTCCCCCTGGGCAGAGTGCCGTGGCATTACAGCTCACAGCAACCTCCAACTCCTGGGCTCAAGCGAGTCTCCTGCCTCCGCCTCCCAAGCAGCTGGGACCACAGGCGCCCGCCACAACGCCCGGCTATTTTTTGGTTGCAGCCGTCATTGTTGTTTGGCGGGTCCGGGCTGGGGATTCGAACCCGCCACCTTAGGTGTACATGGCTGGCGCCTTAGCCGGTTGAGCTATAGGCGCCGAGCCGTGGTGTTCAGTCTTAAAGAGATGACTGAGCAGAGGCTGACAGAACTGGGCAGTGTCAGCATAAGAAGAGAGAAGGGAGGACAAGGCCGCTCTGCCAGCAGGTTTTATAAAAGCTTCTCGTGCGAAATTGTTTATTTTGAGGAATGGTTTTAACAGTGCTGCCCAGTAATCTTTATCACATATTTTTCGGAGTCTAGAATAGTGTCTCAACTCTGTCCCTAGTACTAGTTTTGTGAGCTGCTAAGCTAGCCACCACAGGCAGATATCATTATCATAGCCATGCATTGTAGTGCTAATCTCCAAATCTGTGGCCAGCTTGTGGGCTGTCTTGTATAAGCTGAAATTGATTTCCTGATGTGGACACCAGGGACATTCATGTTAAGCAGCTTATAAATAAATGGTCTCCGAAGTTCCTCTCTGGTGATGTCACTGCTCTTTTAAAGGAGTGATAGAGAGCTGCACTGAGGCTTACAAACGTGTTTGCCGTAGTTTTAAGAACAGCTTCAATAGCATGGCAAAGAAAGAAAGAGAAACATCTTGTTTATTATTGCTGTGTGCAAATGTTGGTGTGATGGAAGTTTTCTAGAACGGTTTCTTGGTCGTTTGGCGACTCTATAGGTCTTTATTACTTTTACTCATTCCAGAGGGGATTTTGGTTGGACCTTGTTGCTCATCACTCCTGACCTTATGTAGGATCTTTTATCTTTGAAAGCCATACTAATTTAGTAAGCAGCACTCCCTGGGAGACTCTCTTTGGCTTTTCTTTACTCTAAATTAATTGTATGGCTGCCTCTCCGTATGGAACTGAGAGGTCCCAAGTGTGTCTGAAGTTTTTTCTATTAGAACTTTCTCCTGCCATGATTTGGAGCGCAGTCAGCCAGTCGCTCAAATGAGGCTGATATTCTGCTTTGCTGGGCGAGGCGTGTTGGGAGGGTGGGGAGCAGTCCTTCAGTATATACGGCAGGTGCCAGGCAGGGCGTGTTGGGAGGGTGGGGAGCAGTCCTTCAGTATATA